ACTATCAGAGACTCCTGGATAATGCTACAGGAAATGTATCTGTCGTGAGAAGCGTTCAACACCAGCCTTATCCCAACACCGCTCTTCTGTCCATGTGTCTCATGTTTGGCTGTTTCTCCATTGCATACTACCTACGCATGTTCAAGAATGGCAAATTCCTGCCAGGCAAGGTAAATAGTTTATTAAATATTGTGATCAAAATATGAGAACTTGACTGTTTATAGCAGGCTTCGGATTGCACCAGCTGTTTGTAAGTTCTTGCTTAAAATATAAAGATCTGTTTGGTGCATAGATTCGACGTTTGCTCGGTGACTTTGGAGTTCCCATTGCAATTTTCATCATGGTTGCTATCGATATCAATATTGAGGATACATACACTCAGGTATGTTTGTAATTTAGCATTTGTGAATATTATTTAATTATAAGTGAATTCCATGGAATTCTTATTTTCATTTTAGATTAGAAGTAGATTCCTTATTTTTTAGGTTTCTGATGGGCATTGGCTGCCTTTATAGATAGATAGCACTTTTAGGGCACCAATTCAGATCCAATCCTGTAAAGTTACTGTCTTGACCTCTCTGACCTTTGACTTGTGTTACAGAAACTGGTGGTGCCTAAGGGTCTTCAGGTGTCCAACCCTAAGATGCGGGGCTGGATAATCAACCCTATGGGTGAACACAAGCCCTTCCCTGTGTGGATGATGTTCGCCTCTGTTGTTCCAGCTATGCTGGTCTTCATCCTCATCTTCCTTGAGTCTCAGATCACCACGTGAGTAATGTTTTATGGAGGAAGAGGATTTGGTACAATCAATTTCTGGTACAATTCGTTAACTGACAGGATCAGGCTCCAACAAATTTTCTGTCTTCACTCAAGTGAAAATGCTGCACGTACTAAAGGTTCTTTATTACCATTGATGTTCCATGAAGAATAATTAACATCCATGGAATCTTCCCGTTGCACAAAAGGTTCTTTATAGTGGAAAAAACGATCTTATAGAACAATGAAGATTGTTAAAATATTCTAAACACTAAAGGTGTTTGGATATAACTTAAAGTCCCCCTGTAGTCAATAATTGTATCCCTTAAAACTCATCTTTGATCACAAAAATTACATAGGTTTTTTCCTGTGAAAAAAATTCTTCATGCCTTAAAATAGCTTGAATGTCATTTAGTATACTTCATTTAGTATATGTGATTGTGGACCCATGAATATGCAAATTGGTCCCTGCCTTCTCTCCATCACATGAGCTCTAACTGCCTGATACACTGTCAACTTTAGTGTAGTAAGCGAAGCTCAATGGCAAGTGGAAATACAGTTTTATTCAGCCATATGTTTGAACCAGAAACTGATTCAGAAGAAGTGGAAGAGTGAATTATACAGGGCTGTTTACATGTCGATGTATCAGAATCGTAATGCGTTTTATGTGTCGCTCTCTACAACGTCGACACATAACGGTAATTGATATGATAACATTATCAAACAGCTAATAATGTGGTTCTAATGTTACACAAACCATGTTCCCGTTCACCATCTCAGAGTCAGACAGCTGCCTTCTAAAAATCAATATCCTTAGAAATGCTTTGAACAACTCAGAATGTCATTGGAGAAAGGCATATAATTCATCATAAAATCGTAATATAAATCATATACATAATTCGCATCTACCCGATATTTCATATCAACAGAAACTCTCTTTATGCTCCCATGTTTCGCAGCATAGTTAATTAAATGCTAAACCCCGCCCTGCTCATGACGGAATTGGTTTCAATATATTTGTGACGTAGAGAACAACTGTAAATTCAAACCACGTTTTGGACACTGTCTTTGGTTCACTGCAGTTTAAAGGAGAAAATACTCAGTCATGGTGTTGACATGAATTTGCACATGGTTTGTCTTAAAACATATTAAAAACACTACATAGACATAGAAACAACATTAAAACGTGATTTTCACCACAGGGGGTCTATAAGAACTGTTCACAAAAAGGTTCTTTGGGGATCCCAGAATGGTTCTTCTATGGCATCATGGCGAAAAACCCCTTTTGGAACCTTTATTTTAAGAGTGCAACATAAAGTAAAATATACAGTTATATGGAGCAGTATTACACACAGTGTGACAGAAAGTGAAAGTGACTGGTTGGGTTAGTGTGATGACCCTCGCTAGATTGGAGATCAAAATAATATAAAAATAGAACAAATATCTCTCTCTGAATAATGATTTGCAATGCTAATTTATTTATAAACTGATCTTTTCACGTATCTCTCATTATTCAAGACTAATTGTGAGTAAACCGGAGAGAAAAATGGTCAAGGGTTCTGGCTTCCACATGGATCTTCTCATCCTGGTGAGCATGGGAGGTCTGGGTGCCATATTTGGTGTTCCTTGGTTGAGTGCCGCAACCGTACGATCCGTATCTCATGCCAATGCCCTGACTGTCATGAGCAAGGGCCCAAAACCTGAGATTGAGAAGGTTCTGGAACAGAGAGTCAGTGGAGTAATAGTGGCTTTGCTTGTTGGTATGTTGACATACGTCTAACATTCTTCTAAACCTGGTTCTTACAGTGCTATGCTTCCTAGAGATACATTAACATCTTCTCTGTCTGTTCGTTTGCAGGTCTTTCGATCCTCATGGAGCCCATTCTAAAAATGATTCCTATTACGGCTCTGTTCGGAATCTTCCTCTACATGGGAATCACATCCCTCAGTGGGATTCAGCTTTGGGATCGAATTCTGCTCCTCCTTATTCCCAAAAAATATCACCCCAATGAACCCTATGTTACGAGAGTATGTCTGTGCTACCATTACTCTATTGGAATACTGTGCATTTCGATTTCTTCTTCTTGTAAATGTTTTATTCTCAAGGTTGGTTGCCTTTTGCATGTGGTCTCTGTCTCCCTCTGCAGGTCAGCACCAGTAGGATGCACGTGTTCACTGTGATCCAGATCGTGTGTCTGGCAGTCCTGTGGATGGTGAAATCGAGCCCTGTGTCACTGGCTCTACCGTTCATCCTGATACTCACCATCCCTCTGCGCATGTTCATGACTGGACGACTTTTCACTGAGCAAGAGATAAAATGTGTAAGTGGCACACTGACTAGCCTAGTCAGAGTAGCCTAGCACTAGTCTACTTGACATACATGCTATATTCCAAGTCATAGTGAACCTAGTGAACTTTCCATTTAACTTTTCATAATAATTCATTGTACTTTGTATCTTCAATATAGCTTGACGGTGATGATTCCAAGGCAACATTTGAAGAGGAGCCAGGAATGGATGTGTATTCTGAATCTCAGATGCCACTATAGAGCCTTTTCCTGCAACCAAACTTGTTTTTTTAGAGTGCAGCCAGCACATGAAAAATTTGACAAAATTATGAATTATGTTCATTTTACTGCTGTGTGTGGTTTTTCTGTCAGTAAATTGATATTATAATGTCTAATACAGTTCTTACCAGATGACGTCATCATGACATGCAACATTTAAATATACAAGTGCCTTTTATAACTTTTGCACTAATATTCAGTAAGTACTGCATTATGAAGGTCTTTAAAATGCACATAGGACCAGCACATTCCACAGATAAGATATTCTCCCTGCATTATAAAGAAATTATTAATGTAGCCTAGGTCTTTTTTTTTTTTTTTTTACAAATACTTTGTCTTATTGGAGAAGATTTGCTTTGCCCCAATAAAGATGCGCTATTACTGGTCCAGATGTCAAAAAATTTTGACCTGCAATGTATTTCTTACATGCTTGTATGTTATGCTATCAGGTAGATCTACATCAAAAAACACGTAGGAGCTTTCCTTTCTATGTAACAGGTAAAACAATTAAAAACAGCCAATGTGACAATCCATAACAGTGACATATTTGGAATAAAAATTCTTCTAATGCTACATAATGTGGCCATAATAGTTTGTTGTTTTGCTGTTTTCCTTCACTATCAACAGAATGTTGTAACATTGGAGCCTAAAGTTAGTTACCATATCAACGCAGCCGCCATCTTTGAATGGTTAACAATTCAGGTGAGGTTATCACTCACAGTCTCACACTAACAAACAATGATTTTTTATTGAAAATACCACAACTTTGAGCAGCTATGTTTGTAAGAACCAATGTAATCTTGGTAGAGTTCTATGATGATCAATAATATGTATAAGAGCTTATATGCACATAAAGTAGCCTACCAACAACATCCATAAACCAAATTCTGTAAAACATTTTTTTTAAAATAATAGTCAGATGTTAAATACTAGCAGATATAGATATTCATACATGTGAATTAATATGGTTTCAGACGCACAGTTCACTTGCTCTATGTGTTCATGGACAGGATTCAACGTTCCGATATGACTCCATACTGTAGATAAATCACTAGCAGGTATTCAAATAACAAAACATAATGCAACAGTATTATTTTTTGTTTTTTTTTCATTAAAGTCCCCATGTGGTGAAAATCAAGCTTTCAATGTTGTCTATGTGGTATTTTTAAAATAGGCGGAGGCAGAGTATTTAGTATTTTAACCAAAGACAGTCTCAAAAACGCAGATTGAATTTTGAAATCGCTGGTGTTTTTTGACTACCTTGCAGCCAATCACATCAATGTGTGATCGTCAACCATAGAGTCAACGAGCTGTTGTGAGTAAGTGGAGGCGGGGCTAATTTTCATAGAACCGCATTAAATGAATGAGGCAAGGTTGTAGTTTAGCTATTTCAAGGCATTAGAGAATTATTATTTTTTTTTAAAAACGTTTAAATATGTAATTTTGGTGATCAAAGATTAGTTTAAAGGGATAAAATTATTGACTACAGGGGGACTTTAATATTTTATTTAGTTATGGTTTACATTTGAATTTTAGTTAAACTTTATATTTATTTTGTTGTGTTTCTGTGTAAGAATATATAGCAGATACGACTAGATAAGTGAGAACTTTCCATTTTCCTTTTCTCAGACCTGGCTAGACGATTCAGCGGTGACGGTGAGGCATTTCAGCAGCATACGATCAACGAGGATCGATTGGCCAGGTCTGGGTAAAGGGAAATGGAAGTCTGCGGACGGGGATAAGAGATTGAACGCTGAATGTGGAACTTTGTTTTGTCAGTGAGGAAATACTTTAAGGGAAATGTCTCGTTGGACTTTTTGTATGTGTTCCCTTTCATGCGCATACCATTAATGGGCCAAAGACCTAGTAGATACAGATTTCATTATTGATTTGATCAGATGAGCAGCTTCAGTCAGTGGAGTGAACAGACCGACAACAGCAACAGCCTCCATTCCAGAGCTGGTGAGTGACAGACAGTAATGTCCACATAATACAGATAAACAATAGAGATCACACGACAGCATTTGTTGGGATTTTCGCAAGCAATATGAAGTATAACCTCTTACGACTCAAATTCAAGTCAGTCAGTAACGTTAAGTTAAGAGGGCGGCTATCCAAGCAAATGGACGCAAATCTTACCCTGTAAACATCTTTATTATTTTTTTTATTATTTTTTTATCATCAATCATACTTGATGACATACTTTGTCACTTATTTGCCATTACAGCATTTTAGTTAATCTGTTTCCAAGCTTCTGAACCTGTAATTTCAGTGAAGGCGAAACGGGATAACTTGTTATCGTGATCAATCATCGATTGACAAAATTATATGATACATGTTACCCTTGTTAATACGAAACAGCCTTAATCATTGCGATATGATATGCGAGTGTTTGCAGTATGCATGGAGTGTAAACGGCTCTTATTCAAGGCAATGCATTGAGTAGCTTATTCTTGTAGCCGGTTTTTTTTTAACAGCTGTGTGTATCGTTCATTTATCCTATTGTTCATAACATTATAAGTACATCCATAAATACACGGTGAGGACTATTGTTTTTTATGTTTTTATAATTGCAGCCGTGATCATATATTGCTGTCTCATTCCCTGCCCGTGTCTCTGTTTGTCTTCCTTTGTCTGGGTTGTTGTTGTTTCAGCCTCTCCTCAGCCCATGACTGCTGCACTACAGCATGTAGACAGCAGTGCTTTCTCCTGGAGCTTTTGCAAATGAAAATGGAGGACGTGTCTCTGTCCAGTATGGACAACAGTAAGATGGAGGTGAGCCTTTGTTTTTCATGTTATATTCTGCTTAATTGGATCAGTGTTGAATAATCAAAAGCTTATGCGGGTGTGTCATGAAGCTTGTCTCTCATGATATACATTTTACACTCATTTCATTGGTTTTCCCAGCTGTGTCCACTGTCCAGTGAGTGCGATGTGAATGTGACGTTAATCTCTCTGAATGTTACTATGTGATTCAAGCGCAATAATGCTTGCATGCTTCACCCACAGGGATTTGCTCAAGAGATCCTGTCTGACCTGGTGGAAGATGCCTGTTTAGGTCTTTGTTTTGAAGTTCACAGGGCTGTCAAACAGGGATACTTTTTCCTGGATGATACAGACCAGGAGAGTATGAAAGACTTTGGTGAGACTCTGATACGTTTCTTGATTATGGCAATCAACTGTTGTGCATGAAATGAGACCTCTGTCATTAATTACTCAACTGAAATCTGAGAGCTCTGTGTACTCTGCATAGACAGCTACGCAACTACCACTTTGACGGTTCAAAAAGTTCATAAAGAGATCGTAAAATTAATCCACATGAATTGAGCGGTTTATTTTATATGATGAACAGATTTAATTTAGGACTCTATTAACATTTAAACATTGATCAGCGAACATAAACAGAAGCTCAACTGAGCCTGCGTAACACAAGAATATGAACCTCACTGGTTCTCGCACGTCAAGCGCACATGCTTGAGCTTCCGTTTACCACAACAGATGTGCGAGTTGATGAATGTTTATATGTAAATAAAAGCCTTAATTAAATCTGTTCATCATGTAAAGCGATCGAGTGTCTTGAGAAAATTTGGACTAAACCACTCAATTCATATGGATTATTTTTACGATCTCTTTATGAACTTTTTGAAGTCTGGAGGGACAGAAAGCTCTCAGATTTAATCAAAAGCATAGTTCACCCAAAATCGAAAATTCTGTCATTAATTTCTCACCCTCATGTCGTTTCACACCCGTAAGAATTTCGTTCATCTTCGGAACACAATTTGATTTGAGCAGAGTCATATATGGTCATTTCACTAAAATGGTTAAAAATATTCATTTTGATATTCAAAATTCCACAGGCAAAAAGGTCCATTGTCATTAGTGTAGTGATGTATGAAGCACAGCTCACACACACAATACACTTTCACCCAGGCAGCTTTTTGTTGGTCAACGGCATCGATTCGAGTGACCAACCTGAACCCTTTGCAAAAATCTGCGTGCCGAAATCTTGTAGATTCCAATTGAGACCTAGATTGTGCCCATGAAAACTCGTGAACATCGATAAATGTGACCGCACCTTAAGACGTGATTGTTCGGAACTGTCGTGAGGGTGCTGTAAAGGAATAGTTTGCCCAAAAAAGAAAATTAGTGTCATTCTGAGGTGAACCCATCACTTTCTTCTTTGAAACCCAAAAAGAGGTCTTTTGAAGAATGTTCATGCTTCCATTTTTCATAAAATGAGTGAATTGGATCTGCACTGTCAGGGTGCTTTTTTGGCGTACACCCGGGTCTATTTGGTCTAACTTGCACCTGTGGAACATACCCAAGTCCACTTTATAAAGAGAACCACAATTGATAAAGTATGATTCTGTAAAACTGTATGTTTGTGTGTGTGTGTTCTCAATAACTTTTCTGAAAAGGGTGATTGACGCACTGCAAGCAGAGAGAATGTGTATCTCATATTTGCTCGCCTTCTGCAGAAACGGACTACCTCGTTTTTTAGAATATTTTCTGTACATTTGCGGCAGGTAGTTGGTAGTGTTGACAAAACCAAAGGTTTGAGATGAGGTGAAGAACGTTATGGATTTTGCCGCCTTCTCCTAGGTAGTTCTTACCTGTCAACAAGGGTAAACAATTGCCACTTTGTTGCAAATGAAAAATACAGTGTGACGCAATCCAGCAGGGAGAGGGGGATCAAACTCTGGTTCTGACAGAGAAATCGAGCCAAATGTTAAAGCACTCTCAAGCTCCAAAAAGCTAAATTCATGCTTTTGCACTGTAATCCAAGACATCTAAATTCATACAACCAAAGTCCCTTTTAAGAAGACTCAGTTCACTCATTGGCCATTTGCAATGTCTCCAGGATGCTATTTCAAGCATGCAAGACTAACTCCTATCTTCTTGAGTGGGGAAATGCCAAAAGCTCAAAAACGGCTTGCTCAATTAAAATTTAAATATAATTTCATATCAGCAGTAACATTTGATATGAACTACACCTTAAAGGAGAACTCCGGCGCAAAATGAACCTTTGGTCTAATTACACATTGTTACCTAGTCAACCGTTATCTGAGATTTGTTTTCATGATTATCGAATGTAAATAGTTTTATCTCTAAAAACAGTTTAGCCTATAAAGCTAGTATAACGCTAGTATATTGGGCATAGTGTAATGACAAATAAAAATCGCTTGTTAATACCACTAACAAGGCTGAAAATAGACCCACACTAACACGGTAGCATAATGAGGGTCCCTACCTTCAAACCGAAGCATTGAGAACTTTGTAAGTGTACAGACAGTTTAATAAGAAGATATTTTAAACATACAGTCAACTTCGCGTATACAGGCAGAAGCCATCTTTGAAATACAGCCTTTACCAGTCGATCTACGAACGCCGATCCAAGCCTGCTGTTCGCGCTCACCTTATCACAACTTATAGCTCGTTCACATCTCACCAGCGCACTTGGATCGGCGTTCGTAGATCGACTGGTAAAGGCTGTATTTCAAATATGGCTTCTGCCTGTATACGCGAAGTTGACTGTATGTTTAAAATATCTTCTTATTAAACTGTCTGTACACTGACAAAGTTCTCAATGCTTCGGTTTGAAGGTAGGGACCCTCATTATGCTACCGTGTTAGTGTGGGGCTATTTTCAGCCTTGTTAGTGGTATTAACAAGCGATTTTTATTTGTCATTACACTATGCCCAATATACTAGCGTTATACTAGCTTTATTGGCTAAACTGTTTTTAGAGATAAAACTATTTACATTCGATAATCATGAAAACAAATCTCAGATAACGGTTGACTAGGTAACAATGTGTAATTAGACCAAAGGTTCATTTTGCGCCGGAGTTCTCCTTTAAGTCACCATGAAGGCAAAATTGACAATTCTTATTTGATGGAATATTCCCATATTTATTATAAATGATTTTTTCGTGCACATCGTTATTTTTATAATAATCTTTAATCAAAATAACTTCCCCTCACAGCAATATTTTTTTTCTTATTCCCTGCCCACTCAACCATTTTTACAGTCAGAATCGTTACTGTAATTATGGCATGGTGTGAACGCAGCTGTTCTCCCATTTATTTGAATGTGAGTGAACCGACTTGATATATGTGGTATTTTGACGAACAGACCCAAATTTAAGCCGTCTTTAACTGAAAATCCACCTGAAACTCATTTTTCACTGTCTCTTGTAGAAATCGTGGACCAGCCTGGAGTAGATATTTTCGGGCAAGTGTACAACCAGTGGAAAAACAAAGAGTGCGTGTGTCCCAACTGCAGCCGGAGCATCGCCGCCTCACGCTTTGCTCCTCACCTGGAGAAATGCCTCGGCATGGGCCGCAACAGCAGTCGCATAGCCAACCGCAGGTATTATGACTAAACATTACCTTCACCGCCCACAAGAAACTGTAGATGCCACCTGAACTCCAGGCAAATGTTCATAAAGGCTTGTGCTTGTCTGAATTTCTGGAATCCATTATTGATAACACTGGGCATGTGATTGTACTTTTGGAACATGTGAGGGTAATGCGTGTATAAATGTATATTTAGAATTGCAAGCGGCAACAACACGAACAAATCAGAGAGCGATCAAGAAGACAATGATGATGTAAACGACAATGACTGGTCTTATGGGGCAGAAAAGAAAGGTGAGACTGTTATACCTTTCTTGGGAATATTCTGGATTCTTGCTTAGCCACTCGAGGGACTTCATTGCATAAATAGTGACTGCAACTATTTATCAATATCTCTGCTTGTCTTTGCATTTTAACATATTACAATATTTTGCTTTTCAGCCAAGAAGAGAAAGTCAGATAAGGTATTTTTACATTCTTTGAAACCACCTGTACTCTTGGTAAGTTTGTTTTACTGTTACGGGTGTTTTTTTCTGCTCTTAGATGGTCTTTTAGCATTTGTAGCCACAGAATCTGGTGCTCTAAGCCAGGTGCGACGCAAGTGTTTTTTGCTAGTTTCAGCCCGACGCAGTTACCATTTTCATATCCTGCGCCATGTTGTTTAAATAGCAAATGCATTCAGGTGAATTGTTGGCGCGTTGCTATTTTGAGGCAACTGAAATAGATTGCGGCATTGGCCAACTGAAACCTGGTCTAACGTCAATGCCGCAATATTTTTTGTTGGTTTTTAAAGAGCGCGTTAGTAATATGCGCCTATAGGCGGATCCACAACGTGCGTACACTTTGTCCCGTAGATGGTCTGCTCACTCGCAGATCCGTTTCCTCGCTACAGATTTTTCCCGCTTGCAAATTCCGCCATGTAAATAGCAATCCGCCATGGGGCGAGCGCAACTAGCTTTTAAAGGGAATGGGAGATGAGACTCTGATTGGTTTATTGCACGTTACACCCAAAACACACTCATCACTCATTTAGAGAATAGGGGCAAACCTTTTAGTCCATGCGCCAGACGCGCCGACCTTTTTTTCTGTCGTAAAACTAGCAAAAGTGAATTTGGACATGCTCAATGTGCACTTGCTTTAGACCATGCGCTTAGATTGCTAAAATAGGGCCCATTATCTCTCTAATCAGTGCTGGAGTGTAGTGTACTGTTGCCTGAATCTTTCTCTTACAATGTCTTTTCATTGCTTTCATTTGCATATCCTGGCTGCAGGCTAATGTTTGACGTCTTTTTTTTTCTGTACAGAATCCAAATTCACCAAGAAGATCCAAATCCATGAAACATAAAAATGGTAAGCACTTCCATCCAAAACAAAACGATTGTGTGAAATCTCTAATAGTATAGTATTCAGGCCCCGGTATACTCACGGCGAAGTTTTATTTTTTGTTCTTTGCTTAGAGGTAAAAAGAAGTTTTTGCAGCGATATACTATTAGCGAACATCCCGATACCGCCCATATTACTGAGAGCAGCAATTAGAAGAATATGTTGATATGCATTTCTGTCAAAAGCAAAATAAACAAAACAGCGGTGAGAAAACAACAGTTAAGAAAGTATCTGATACGAAAGTATCTGAAGCTCTGCACTTCAGTCATGTTTATTTATATAGCACTTTATACAATAGATTGCTAGCAAGCTGATTGACATTATTAAACATTAGAAAATCAGTATCACTTTCAATTAGAATTACAACTTTCCAGTGTTTTCAACAGACTGAACAGAAGAAATGAAGTGGAGAAGATTTCCACATCAAAGAAGGCGGAGCCTCAGAGCCACACCTACCATTACGTAATCGCCATGGACCGATAGTAGTTTCGAAGGGATTTACTAACTGGAGCAAAGTTTTCCGGAAAGTTCGCTTTGCCAAGCTGTTTCGACTCCCAAAACGAACATTGTTTTGGCCTGATTTTGTTCAAAATGACATACCACAAGTTCAGCTTTCTTCAGTTTTGCTTGAAGTATATTGGGGCCTTTAGGGGCCATTCATGCAACGCGTGTTTGCGTCGAAAAATGGAATGGGGAAAAAAAACATGCAAGTACACTTTTTTTTTTTTTTTTTTTTTTTTTTTTTTTTTTTTTAAATATATATATATATATATATATATATAAATTTGAACTACTTTTTTCTTAAGCACAGCATTTTTAGAATGCCATGTCATGCACGTGACTCTGCAAAATACACAAGCGCAACAATCGAACACATCCGTCTAGCTAGTTTACAGTGAAACCAATAGAATTGCAGCGCAGTGGAATGCAAAAACAGACGGCCCTTTACGGTGCATTTAGCATGTTCAAGGTCCAATTTCAAAGCTTTACATGCTAGTTGAAAAATGTTGTAAGTGATATTGTATGCTAACAGTCTTTATTTAAGTCAGTGAAAGTTCTTGACAAAAATATAAGACATTGTAATTAACTGTCTGGTGAATAACTTTCTCAAAGCTCTGCTGGGACTTAAACGGTGTGTGGAGAATCAGGACAGTTTGTGCGTTTTGCTTAGAGACGAGACATTCTCTCAATAACACTGTGGGTAGCAGGAGTCACTCATAACCACAGTGCCGCACGGTTTACCTTATCACAGGATTGTGTGAGCTGAGTTATGCTGATCAGTGGAGGAGATGTGGACTAATTCTTCTGTCATTCAGTTTACATTAGTTTTTTTATTTTTTTCATGTTTCGTCTTCAGAAAGTTTTGCACAATCTCTCATATCCTGTTCATGCAGCTTTGATGGCTGGTCTCTCAAAAATGGCACATCTAGGATAGAGGAACTTGCACGATGCTCTCAGGGAGGAAGTTAGAACTCAGATCATCATGTCGGCAGGCAGAAAGAGCCGAGTCGTAGACGCTGGGCCAGTTGAGCTCTCCCATAAATAAGGTGCAGGATTCTCTCTAACACATACATTTGCATGAGTCATTTCTCATTCTGGGAGGATTTTGCATCCGTTAATAATGAAATTGTTAAAGATTAATTGCAAATCAAGATCATAAATCAGTGTGAACTGTTCCCCATCAGGTAATTACTACACAATGTTTTAATATAATTTTTTTTTTTTTTTTGGAGAATCATGATCCAGTAGAGTTGTTTCCTTTCTCTGTAGTTCAATAGTCAAAATGTGGTACAGTTGTACTATGTTATATCACTAGTTCTATAGCATATTATCGTTAAAAAAAATTCAATAGTAAGTTATTGGTTACAAAGAGAGTTTGACATAGATCTCCAGAAAGAATTAAGTCTTGAGAATATCTTTATCATTGTAATTTGTTTTTCTTCTCTCAATATGTTTTTATGTATTAGATGTTTACAGTGTAAAGTGTCACTTTGTTTGTAACTGTATATATATTTGACTAGGTGAAAGATGCTGCTATCCTGACCGTGAGCCATACGCTTATGGGCATGTCATCCATGTAATAAAACAAATCAGAACTCTGAACATGCTTCATGTGTGTGCTACACTATTTATTTCACAAAATATTTATTGGGTGTTGTGAAGGCACCCATTTCGGACCACTGAGAAATTTTACATGAAATTGGATTAAAAAAAATGTAATAATTTTTCGAAACCCAGAGTGAAGCTGGAGCTGGGTGATTTCAAAACGGATCCACTCGCGTATATTGTTCCAGTTTGTGCGTCCCTTGGTGAAATGCAATGTTTGAGGCTTTGGCTTATTTTGGAACGGTTTTCATTGGCAGTTAAGAAATATGAATATTAACTACTTTTTGTATAGACTGATAGTTCTGGTCCTCAGAATTGACTGGATGAGCTACATTCCAGCAGTCCAACACTGCGTGTCCGTTTGTTATCAAATGTTGTACTCAAGCTCAGTATGCGATTTCGATGAATTGTGAAACTTCATAGCTTGTATCACTCTGCGTGTCTGTGTTCACAGCTGAAGCAAAGGAATGCTTATATTCAGAACAATAGCACTTTTGCTTGTGTAATATATTACAGAGTTACAGCTGCCAAAGGGGGCTTAGTGAAAATGTGATTTATTTATTTATTTATGGTCCCAAATTACCGGTTCAAATTACTATTCAAAATTAAAATATTCAGTTATAAAATGCTAAAAAAAAAATTTACTTAACAATGACTGCTGCAGATACAATGACATCCATTTGCAAATATATTTTTGAGAAAAATAGTAACATTTAAGTACACCCTGACCTAACGTTTGAACACTTCTGTTTATTTAGCCACTTTTGGCATTTCATATTATGTCTTTATTTTGTATTTGAAAGTATAAGGATCCCAATTGGTCTTATTTAAATAGGCTATATTTCACGTACCTCTGTCTATTATACACAAATATACTTGTTCATTTGTCTTGGAACTATATCTCTTTGTGGAAGTTCATGTAAGTGGGTTTTATTGGGCCATTTAATCAGCGGCTGCTATAGGGCGTCCGCAAAACAAAAAAAATTATATATATATATATATATATATATATATTACAAATTGTATTTTTAGGGCTGTCACAGTTAACGTGCTCTCAATTTATCAATACAATTGGGGGTTTTTTTTACATTCATATTTACCAAATTTGATAATAGATCATATTGAAATATTCCCAAGTCTGGTCATAAATCATGAGAAAACAAATATGAATAGAACGTTCGTGTTAATCTCAGATATGCGGCCATATATATATATATATATATTAAAGCCAATTTAATTTGAATAATTAATATATATATATATATATATAAAGTGGGTTTTTATACATTAAAATATAGCCTATCTGTCTTTACATTTTAGGAAGGGGTCTGTCGCAAGGTGATGAACGCATTTGGAGGTCCGAGGCATCTAAAAGTTTCAAAACACCTTTCAAACTTATTACGAGGGAAAGTTATTTGGCAACCCAGGGGGCGGAGATCTGAAAAGCCACACACACTGATAACTGTAGTCGACATTGGTCAGGCTGTTAAAATGTTGTTGAGAGGAAATCATTAAGATAAATGGGGGTTTGACATAGGAAGATATGACACATTCAGCGGACATCGATCGCCAAGTAAAGACGGAGGAATAAATCGATATTTGAACGAGATGTGGTTACGCGTGACTCCAACGTACGTTTATCGAGTGAATGCGTAACGGTTTTAATTTAATTTCTTAACGATTATTAGCTGTGAAAATAATCACAAATGGCTTCTAGATCGGGTTTCCCCGTCAACCACAGTAACGTTACCCCAATAAACCCAAGCATGAACAGCATGAACCTTATTAACCCGGGTCACAGCAGCGCAATGAGAATGTCAGCAATGCCTCAGAATTCACCCTACAGAGGGATGGGCAGTTCTCCGAACCAGTATCACCAAGTAAGTGAAGAAACCACTCTTTATTATCTGCGTTTAGCATCACGCCATAGCTTCAGTCTTCCCTTCTGTCTTAATTGAGGAAGAGTCATTTCATTTGCATTCATTGGCACATTTATGACATGAAATATGTCAGAAAATAATCTACAATGATGCTTCTTTATATAAATACAAAAAGAAAATGTTTAAATATCATTTTGAGCGCTCAGGCCCATGAAGAACAAACATCTACTTCCGCATTTGAGTCCCACCATGAAGAAAACGCGCGTGCTTTACTTTGAATAACTAAAGTTACTTGCAAACATTAGGCTTAAACAAAAAAGTACCATGGTAATACTACTCCATTTTGTTATACCATGGTAATAAGATTTAGTTTGGACATATGGTAATACCAAGATGTTTGAACATGTAATATAGTAATAATATTTACTGCAGGGTTGGGTAGGCTACCACACAAATGTCGTGTATGAATATGGTATTCATTACCTCATGATATGTATCCAAGTAAAGTTCAAAGCCATTTGATATCATCACTGTGTATGGCACCGCCACTTTATTTTTGGTAACACTTTGCAATAAGTTCCCATTAGTTAGTTCATGAATTAACTAAAATGAGCAATAAAGAGCAATGTGTAACAGTATTTATTAATCTTTTTTAACATTAGTTAATAAAAAAACAACTGTTCATTGTTAGTTCATGTTAGCTCAGGTCTATTAAATCATATTAATATATGCAACTTTTGATTTTAATCATGTATTAGTTAATGCTAAAATTAACTAAGGTTAATAAATGCTTAATAATTCATTTTTATTGTTAGTTCATGTTAACTAATGTAGGCCTACTAATTTTAACAAATAGAACCTTATTGTAAGGTTTTAACGTATTTTGTAAGCTACCCTTATAGGCCAGCTTATAGCTTAGTCATGGAGTCCTACGTGAAGTTTTACTTTGGACAAACTTTACCTTTAACAGTTGAGTGTTAAAAGTAGTAATACTCAAATCCTGCAATCGTACCCACAGCGCCCAAGTATGCCACCCAGCCGAGGAATGCCAATGGGGGGCATGGGGTCTATGGGTTCCCCTCTACCTGGTCCGTCTTATAGTGGAGCCATGCCCATGCGACCTGGGATGCCTCAAGCCGCGATGGACCCCAACCGGAAGAGACTTCTTCAGCAGCAACAGCAGCAGTCCGGTGGTCTTATGGGTCAGAGAAGGGGGTTAGTACATTTAGTATCATTGTTTGTGCATGAATGCTAAGTTATTGTAGCATTCACTTCACAATTCTGTGTCTGGTTTATGGGCCTTATGAACAAAGGACAGTTTTATTTTTGGAGCCCCAAGAAAAGTTTGTTTTAGATGATTTTTATTTAATTTTTTATGGAATATTGCCGTACTTATTATAAATTATTTACTTATGCACATCTTTTTTTGTGTGTGTGTGTGTGTCCTCGTAATTTGGGCTGTCACAGTAAAGGAATCTCCCTTGCGGTGATTTTGTGTGGCTCAATATTGCAATATGCGATATTATCGCCATATTATAATTATTATTATTTTGCTATATAAATAAGCTTGTTGGGTTATTCTAAAATTTTCTGTTTCTCAATGGACAAGAAGCTTTCAAAAATTGCTGATATATTTCAGGAGGATCAGCACTGGCATGGCTCTGTGCGCTAGACAGGCTGTCTGTAAATGCAGTTATTAGAGTTCAACCGATTGTGGATTTTACTGATAATAATAACTAGCTTGGACCACGCTGGCCGCTAACCGATTAATCATTCGATAGTTTTTAAAATGGATACTGAATGAAAACAAACATAAAATAGTGCTTATATTTATTACAAAAAATTAAAAACTGTACATGAATATGTACTGTACTTTTTAAATATAAAAATATTAATATACAGCATTAATTATACCTTGATCATTCGTGTTAGTTCATAGTGCATTAACCATGTTAAGAGATACAACTTTAAAATGTAAAACATGTATTAGTAAATGTTGAAATTAACAATGAACAATACTTGTATTAACCTTAGTTAATGTTTCAAATGGACTCTTTTTGTAAAATGTTACTATTTCATTTAAATCCAAACCATCTTTAATCTTAAATATCTACACAAAAGCCATAGCATTGAAATTAGATACATGTATATTATCTTGCACACTTTATTCGCCTCTATTTTAAAACACTTAAAATCACCATGTAGTCAATCATTTTATCCCTTAAAACTCATCTATGAACACCAAAATGACATTTATTTTTCCTTGAAAAATATTTCTTCATGCCTTAAAATAGCTTGAATGTAACACCCATGTCTCATTTAGTATATGCGGTTCTATGCAAATTAGCCCCGCCTCCACTCACTCACACCAGCTCAAAGATCCACTCGTTGACGTGATTGGTTACAAGGTAGAGGTAGTTTGTGACGTCTGAAAAACACCAGTGATTTCAAACGGTGTTTTTGAGACTGTCTTTGCTTCACTGCAGTTTTAAGGAGAAAATACTCAGCAATGGTGTCGACATGAATTTACACATGGTTTGTCTTAAAGCAGTGGTTCTCAACCTTTTTTGGGCCAGGACCCCCTATCCAATATCCAGGTCCCTGCATAGCAATAGCAGTGTTTCTCACAGGTTTTTTGTTAAATCTGTGGTGGGTGGTCCTCGGGCCTTCTAGGGGGGTTCGGGGGCATGCCCCCCTGTAATTAAAAAAAATTAATTCAATTAAATTATTATTGTTTTATTAATTATTTTTAACTATCTTGAAACTATCCAAGCAGCGTTTCGTGCTTAGATGTCATGGCGGAATTAATACATTACCAAAATGTGATTACAGAGTATATTTAAATTATCCATCAAATTGTCATTTTCTCCTTACTGTCTTGCGCGTTAACAAAAAATGCCTGACCAGTAAATTACTTGGTGAACAAAGAAAACATTTTGGCATTAGGCATAGGCAGGCATTGATAATGCCTAAAAATGTAAAAAAAAAAAAAAAAAAAAAAAAAAAAGTTTTACCTTATAAATAGAATTTCGTTTTTAATTCATTTTAAAATTCGTCACCGGAGTGAATGGGAACATGATTTATTGAAAATATATAAGTGTTTCTTAGGTCAATACTTTTTAATGACTTGTCAACTTTCCATTCCTCCGCTGCGTGATTCTAGCTAGCGCTGGATTTTAGTCGTCAAAATACAACTCGTCAAAACAACCGATACGCTTGTTGCGAATCACAACAAGCGTATCGGTGAGAACACTCATTTAAACAGCATACACACACTCAAACTTGACTGCACATCATATTTTTGACATTATTGATACTGCTTTCAATCGTGATGCAATAGAAATGAACTCAAAAAACCTGCCTAGTGGCTACCTACAACACTGACGGTACCGCCCCCGTTGAGAACCACTATCTTAAAGGACAAGTTCGGTATTTTACACTTAAATCCCTGTTTCAAGGTCGTTTCTGATGAAATAGAACGGTTAAGATTAAAATTTGGACACATGCTGCTGTCCCGAGAATTTTCGGTTTCTGTGGTTGCACGGTGCACCCCTCCACCTCCACAATGGTTGTATAGGTGCACAGGAACAATCCTTCATAAAACGCATTAAACTTTAGTTTACAAAGACGTTATACTCACCGAGTGGTCTGGGGTGTTCACTGATAAGCTCACACAGAAATCGCTGCAAAAGATGCTTTCCAACAGGTTTTATCGTAGTTTTTGTCCCAAGTCAAGTCAATGGAGTTGACAACCAATAAATCAATAAAAAAGATTGACAACCAATCAGAATCCATTCTGCTTTGAGCTCAAGCATTTGGGAATCCATGCGATCAGAAGTTTTGCGGAAGGGCGAAAGAGTTCCCCATGCAGATTTCACGCATGTTTAAGTTGGTCTGATGAATTAGTCACGTTGACCAACAGAAAAATGCTTAGTTTGAAAACGACTTCTGTGTGAGTGGTGCTTCATGCATCGCTGCTTATTTATTTAAACAAAATGAGTAACACGAGATCCTTATGAATCCTCTTTTATCTTGTTTATTGTTGTGTTATAAACAGGCCCAACTGGAATTGTTGAAATTTAAAATATATATATATATATATACATTTTTTTTTTTTTTTTTCATTTTGGAGCAGAATGGATTTAGTTCACACTTGAAGTTCAGTTCGCTTGGTTAGTTTGGTCCGGACCAAAAAAAAGTAGTCCTGGACCTGGTCCGCTTAGCGTTCACATTGGCATTTTTTCAACACTGAACCTAAAGATACCGAACCTAAAGGCATAGGGATATGTTCACAACCTGATTGGTCGGCTTTTATGAAAACAATGCTGTGTGCTTGGATAAATGCACTCGTTTTATGTGCGTAACCTACATGGTCTTTTGACCAGCTGAGAACTCGTGAAGAGCTTATAAAATGTGTTAAGGAGTCAAAACAGCTGCAGGAATCCCTCCGTTACACACAAAGAAAGATCTCTTGCGAGGAGACGCGATTCTGACGCCTGTTCCAAACTGTAATGGACAACATCGCGACTATGACAAGAAAAAAGAGGTATGCTTGAGCATTCTGTCCTTTTTAGGGTCGCATCTTGTGACATCATGTCACATTTTTTTGGTTTGTTTAATGTTGGTCCGTGTTGGGTTCATATTTCATTCAAACTGCACCAGAGTTCGTTTGGAAGTGAACCGAGACCAATCAGAGCGGTCTTGGTTTGCGTGTTTGGTGTGCACCAGGGTTCGGTGGCAGCGTTCACACTTATTCAAATGAAACGCACTAACAGAGCAATCGCACCAGGATTCGTTTAATCAAACCAAACATGCCAAGTGTGAACACACCCTTAAAACTCTCTTATTAAAGCATTATTACATTAGAGTATGTTAAAGTAATTCAGCATTTGAGCTCGATCAGGACAGATTAATCATTTTTAAATGTTTATCCAAAATAATGAATGTTTCACTGTAAAATTTATGAAGAAAAAGTTATATTTTGTGGCTTACACTTTAGATCTGCAGTGCTTTAAACTTTGCACTCTGTAATATTTTAACATATGTTTGTGTTGAGTCATGTTCCTTACACATCTGCTCTACATTTTCAGGGTGAAGAGGCGTAAGATGGCTGACAAAGTGCTCCCACAGAGGGTGAGTTTAACCAGAATAGTGTAAATCTTTTCTTTTCTTTTTTGTGATGCTGAAGTGCATAGTTTCGCATGATTTTGGTTTTCCTCAGATCAGGGATCTGGTCCCAGAGTCTCAGGCTTACATGGACCTTCTGGCCTTCGAGAGAAAGCTGGACCAGACCATTGCACGCAAACGCATGGAGATACAGGAGGCCATCAAAAAGCCGATCACGGTAGATGTGGTAGACTGGAGTAGCAATTTAGAGATGAATTCTTAGTTTAGCTAAGTTTAAGGGAAGCTCGCACATTTACTCACCCTCATGTCATATCCAAACCTGTATGACAAAAGAAGATATTTGAAATAAAGCTGGTAACCAACCTGTTTCGGTGACCTTCCATTTCTCAAAATATCTTCTTTTGTGTTCCACAGATGAAAGAATGTTATACAGGTTTGAAACGGCATCAAGACGAGTAAATGATGACAGAATTTAATTTTTTGGGTAACTAACCCTTTTTGCTTTAGCTTCGGAATTCACTGGCTACTAGACTTTTATTTTCTCTATGCCATCATGAAGAAATTAACCAAATTGTTTATTATCTCAATGCGCTTTGTTCTACTCATCCAGCAAAAACGCAAACTGAGGATCTACATTTCTAACACCTACACACCTGGCAAGCCAGAGGGAGAGGAGGCTGAAAAAGTGGCATCCTGGGAACTTCGAGTGGAAGGCAAACTCCTGGAGGATGTATGTAATGATTTTCACTATGTGTTCACTTGTTGGCACGTATGTGAACTCCAGGCAAGTTTGAGCGATCACGCAGTGGAGTCCATTTACAGTGTTTCATGACCAGTAAAGGCTCTAGTTACAATCTGACTTTGTCGCCCCTATCCTTAATTCTATTTTATTTGGCAGTCTTGAGTCTCTTGGTCTGTTGGCCAGCTTAACTTCACTGGCTCATGTCCTCAACTCCCTCCTTCAAACCAGATGTGCTCTAAGCTGTTCCATGTTCCCAGACGTTTCAAAGAAAAGGGAATTGAAACTTTAGTCCATTTTGTGAAATTAGTCCGTAAATGTCTAAGCATGTATTTGCCAGCTAAAGACCTCTGGCTGTGCTGCTGCCACATGAAAAGAGGAAATTATTCTTTTTCTTTACTTTCTTCTGCCTGAGTTATACGTTGTGTGGTACTGCAAGGGAGGGACAGGCAAGGCATTGCGCAAACACATACAGTACTGGCGCAATAACTGTGTGAGCTGCTTCTAAAAAAAAATCCCCCCAGTGCGGTCAGCTCCAAACAATGCAGTATCAATCAATGGCATGAACACATTTTGTGTTCTCTCTCCCCTTTTCCCTACTTCTTTCTCTCTTTCTAACTCTCCTCAGCCTGGGAAACAGAAACGAAAGTTTTCATCCTTCTTTAAAAGCCTGGTCATTGAACTGGACAAAGAACTTTATGGCCCAGACAACCACTTGGTGGAGGTATGACATTATAGTGTTATTATAAAAATAATAATGCAATGAATAAATCTATTTAAATAATGATGACCTCATCAAACACAACATGTACTCTCTTGCAGTAAATCCAGTCATTACATCTGTAGTCATATCTTTTTCTGTGTGTCTTAGTGGCACAGAATGCCCACAACTCAGGAGACTGATGGATTTCAGGTGAAGAGACCAGGAGATGTGAATGTGAAATGTACTCTCCTTCTCATGCTAGATCACCAGGTATCACATACACATCTCACAAACACATTCAATACCGGTCCAAAGTTTGGAATAATTGCGATTTTTAAACGTTTTTGAAAGAAGTCTCTTACGCTCACCAAGGCTGTGTTTATTTGATGAAAACTACAGTAAAACAATAATATTGTGAAATGTTTTTTAATTTAAAGGAACTGTTTTCTATTTTAATATATTTTAAAATTTAATTTCATTCTGTAATGGAAAAGCTGAGTCTTCAGCGTCACATGATCCTTCAGAAATCATTCCAATATGCTTGATTTGGTGCTCAAATTTGATCAGTTATTATTGGTGCTCAATTATTAATAATGGCTCTTATTATCAAAACAAAATTAAAAAGTTTTTGCTGCTTAATATTTTTGTGGCAACTATTTTGTGGAATCATCATGCAAGATTTATGAAATCTTTTGTAACATTATATGTCTTTACTGTCACTTTTTTTTATTAGTGTACTTGCCTTTTGAATGGTAATACATTACAGTTCCCACATAAAAAAAATTAAGCAGCAAAAAATTGTTCAACATTGATAATAATAAGAAAATATTCTTAAGGAGCAAATCAGCACATTAGAATGGTTTCTGAAGGATCGTGTGACTGAAGACTGGAGTAATGAAGCTGAAAATTCAGCTTTGCATTACACGAGTATATTACACTTCTTTGAAAAATATTAATTAACTATTCCAAACTTTTGACTGGCGTGTATATATGTATTTTTTAATAGCCAGTTTTCATTCGTTTACATCACATTATCATTAAACAGAATTGTAATTTTGTGAATCGTGCCACTACCACTTGCTATTCAGAAGCAGGTGACGGTTAGATACGCCCATGAATGCAAGATGCATAATTTGCGTTTACATGGACACTTATAATCGGATTGATGGCTCGATCGGACTAAAAAACCTTCATGTAAACACCTTAATCGATCCGATTGAAATTTCGATCCGATTGAAAGGGGTGGTTTACTCCTTTTGTAATCCGATCGAGGGAACATGTAAACATTTGATCGGATTGAAAACCGAAACTGAAAGGACTGCTCATGTGCAATGACGTTGAAATAGCCTAATGACATATGACGCACGGAACGAGCTGTTCTTCCTGTTGAATAAAGTGAATAAAATGACTGTTCTGTTATTAAAAAATTCTCATTTCACTCAGCGTCTGTGAAGTGAAGCAGGACAACGTCCCACCAGTGCTTGTTTCAGATTATCATTCATGGAAGACTGGTTTTGGGTGTGGGGTTTTACTGCGTGATCAATATAAGCAGCACGGCGTCGGCAAAACGCGTCATGCCAAAGTCCTTTTAGGCAAGTCATGCCACTCGGCCGCCATCTTGGCAACGCCTCCGGGCAGCTATTTCGGACTAACAAGACCAGGCTCCTATCTAAATGAATGGGCAGAGAGTCAGAACTGCACTTTCACTGGTCACCGGGACATAAAACCTGCTTTTATAGAAACAGCAGTAAAATATGATAAAAATCGCTGAAAAAGTTTGATGACTTTGCCCCAAAATAAGGTTTAAAAGGCCTCTTCCCCCACAGGTTATACGTTTACTACGCATGCGCAAGGGTTCTCGTCTCCGCTGTCGCAAACCTCAACTGTGCGCATGCGTCGGTGGAACCAGACGATAGGCTTACATGTTTCCCGGCTTGACTGTTAAAAGCAGACGATTGGCTTTCCAGCGGGAGGGTCGGGGCATGTGCATACAACCGCCATCTTTGGCGTTACGGGTTTTCCCTATATAGTTGTATTGAGGATTGAGGAAGTGGCATGTCTCTATATAAATTGTAAAATATAAAATTCTATATAAAATTCAAATCGGAATTGATTTTTTGACATGCGCACACTGCACGAATATGCCGCTGTTCGCGCATAACTATTCTCCTCTATTGGTTCTTTATTTTTTTTAAACAGCAGACTTAATATTTATCATGATTTGGAGACGATGAGCATGACCAGAGACGGATAAATATTAAGTCTGCTGTTTAAAAAAAATAAAGAACCAATAGAGGAGAATAGTTATGCGCGAACAGCGGCATATTCGTGCAGTGTGCGCATGTCAAAAAATCAATTCCGATTTGAATCTTGTGACATATAAACGCGCACATCAACCCGATTACTTTATTTATCGTTCATGTAAACACCGTGTTCGGATTCATCAATCGGATTGATTTCATTCCGATTGACCCATGTAAACGCAGCTATTGTTTTTTTTGGTACATTTTCTCTTAAGAGATAGAATGAATTAATGTACATTTTTAACTTACATTTTTTTAAATTTTAAAGTTTGTTTTGTCTACTTTTAGGAGAACACTAGCATATAGCCTAAAAGCTCACAGACATGGACTAAAAGCCAAAAAAACTAAAGGGGTTTTCAAAAGAAAAGAAAACTTCAGTCTATTCATGTCATAAGTTTGTTTGTTACAGAGTATATGGTTGTCTTTAATGATTGTCTTCTCCTTGTTCTTGACTTAGCCTCCGCAGTATAAGCTGGATCCACGTCTGGCTCGACTGTTGGGAGTCCACACTCAGACCAGAGCCAGTATCATGCAAGCCTTGTGGCTCTACATCAAAAACAACAAGCTGCAAGACTGCCATGAGAAAGAGTTCATTAACTGCAACCGATACTTCAGACAGGTACACAAAACGTTTAGCACTCCTAGCAGGAAATTACCCCTAGCCTGTTCTCACAATTCTTTAATATCCAGGTTGCAACAAACCACTTACGCTAAGAAAGCTCTTTTCAATTTTTACCCTTTTTAATTATAAATGAATTATCACTACGTTTTTTTTTCTTAACTAATAGGTTGTCTGCAGCCCCCTACAGAAGCTCAATCTAAAACACATTAGAACAGAAAAACTGCAGAAACCCTGATATCTAAGCATTGCATTTGACACTGTCTGCCACAACCTGCTTTCACTTGCCTCTGAGCCATTGTTATTACTGGCACAGCTGTGCACTTGTTCACATCTTACCTAAGTGATAGATAGCAATTTGTCTTTTTTCCAGAGAAAGACATTTTCCAGTGCTCCTGACTTGTCAACAGAGGCGTCCCCCAGGGCTCGGTTCTTGGCCCAATTCTCTTTGTAGTCTATATACTTTTACTAAATCTTAATTGCTTGAAACCACCGTATTATTTTACTTGGTTGCCTTTTGCCCTGTTAAGCTGATGACACTCAAATCTGCATTAGCTCCCGTGTTACTTCCGTCCTTCCTCTCAATGTCAGATCTCTTTTTAAACTGCCCATGTATACAAAGACAGAGAGACCCAAGCCAAATGTAAAGACTTGATTGTCATAGAGACTTGTTTGGGCCCACTTTGCAATGCCCCTGTCAACCATTCAGAAGACCTTAGCAACCATATAGAAACACCCTCACAGCGAAGCGCCACTCTCGTTGTCTTTAGAATTTAGTTTAGGTCTTGATCTGAGATATACTGTACAGCATGCTTTGTGCAAAGACAACTATGGGATAGGTGCTTGACCATGAACTCCTTGGTTATAGACTGAGCCATGTGTCACTGAACTGCTGTAATCCTGCAGATTTTTGGATGCCCCAGGATGAGATTTTCGGATATTCCCATGAAGCTCGCCAGCCTCCTTCAGCACCCTGACCCCATCGTCATCAATCATAACATCAGGTGTGTGCTTATGGTTTCTGGTCTGAATGTTCTCAGTAGTTACTTTAGTTTACATGCTCATTTCAAATATATATATATTTTTTTGTTTACTCTCTCTTTTTTTTATTCTTTTTAATACAATATATATATGACTTTTTTAACGGAAAAAAAAAACAAAGTTTGATCACACTAATTTTTCTGAATATAGCTTGCACCTACTAATGAAATTCTCAGCAAAACTAAAATTTTATTTATTTTAATTTGGTGAGTTTGAGGGAAAGAAAAACAGCCAACTCGTGTTCGGCATTGATGAGAACTTTGGGGGGGAGAAACTGTTGAATACAATTATTGACTATTGCAAAATCTAAAATGTGGATAATTGTATTAACAGTTTAGATTGTGTAGTTGTCTGAATGCTATTATTAGTAGTAGTAGTATGGTTATTTGATTTTGATCAAATGCTGCTTTATTGCTGTATCATTTTGTCAGTGTGGATCCCAATGATCAGAAAAAGACTGCATGCTTTGATATCGATGTTGAGGTGGACGACCCTCTGAAGGCTCAGATGACCAGCTTCCTGTCATCCACAACCAATCAGCAGGAGATTGCTACCCTGGAGATGAAGGTGTGTGTGTGTGCAAGGACGTAAATGACACCTTGTGTAAATTATTCTCCACTCATTATAAGGTAAAGAGGCTATTTTTAACCAAACATTTACATTCTCCATAAGATCCATGAGACTATTGAATCCATCAATCAGTTGAAAACCCAGAGGGACTTCATGCTCAGCTTTAGTAACAACCCGCAGGATTTCATCCAGGACTGGCTCAAGTCTCAGAGCCGAGACCTCAAGGTATACTCAGAGCTTTGGATTTCCCTCATTGGAGTTGGTCAATCTGAATTTTTTTTTTTTTTTCATCCTTCATTTATGATGTTGTGTCTTGGTTTATGCAGTTAATGACAGACACCGTGGGTAATCCAGAGGAGGAGAGGAGAACTGAGTTTTATCACTCAAACTGGGTTACAGAAGCTGTTGGACGCTACATATTTTCAAAGGTGAGTGCAAAGTATTTCTTTCCATTACAAAACACATCAGATGCTATAGTATCTATAATACTATAAATAAATTATATCTATTTTTTTTTTTATTTTTTATTTTTGTTTTTCAGGTCCAGCAGAGGAGACAAGAATTGGAACAGGTACTAGGAATCCGACTCACTTAAGAAGATTCAGACTCCAGATCCAGTCATCCAAGGAATCAGCTCAAATACAGATGAGAAAAAATCCAATAGATGCACTTCATATAGAAGTTTTGGGTGCTGGTATTGTTTGGTATATTCCACTGTCATAAACTTCTTGTCAGTTGCAGCATTTGCAGACTGTACCATAGCAAACATCTGGTCACTTCCAATTTCAAATGCTGTTACATTAACTGGAACTCTTCAGTGTGTATCTCCCTTTTTGAATTCAATCTCTGATTTTGTTTTATATATTCTGAAAATGTAATATGAAAATAAGCCATTCAGTTCATTTTCTTTATGATTCAGTTTTTTGACATACACAGCTTTACTTTTATTATATCCTGTTAAATAGGGCTCTTTTTTGTATAATTTTACAGTAAGATATACAGTACTGTAGTTAATTGGCTAAAAAACCCTATAGGTAACAGATGCAACACAGCTTCTTGTTGTTCATCCTTTTTATGTTTATAGTTTAATAGTTAATTAATGACTAAAGTTAACTATATAGTTAATTCATTAATTAGGAATAGCCAAACTCCATTTTGTTTCTGAAATGTTTGAATTCTGACCGCAAAGACTTATGTTTTCACAAATTAATTGCACAATTTTTGAGTCAGGATGCAGTTACTTGTAATTAGGTTGACTAGTAATGAAAATGCAATGTTTTTTTTTTTTTTTTTTTTTTTATATATTGTGGATTTTTCCATTTCGTCTCTCAGGAAAATATGTGCTGCACTGCGTTCAAGAGCCATCTTTTTGTGTTTCCACCCCCAACGAGCACATTTGGTTGTCCAGCTGGTTTAGTTCAGTATACCAGACTTTCTATCTTCATCTCATTAGTGTTTACTTTTCTTTGCTTTTCTTTTCCTGTTTTCTTTTTTTTTTTTACCAGTTCATGTTCTTATTTAGTGTTCAAAAGTCTGCTGAAGTGGTAGAGACCGTACTGCAGTGACTGAATTTGTGAACGATGGTGTGCTAACCATCAACATATTCTTTATTTTCAGGTATTCAAAGCCATATTTTTAAAGTAGATTAGTTCAGTGTGTACTTCTACATTCCAAACAGCTGATGGAAATTTTCTGTTTAAGTGGGTTTTAATACGTGATCATTCATATTGGTGTTGTTGTTATTTGTGGTAAGTATTGACAGCAAGTTGAATTTTCAATTAAGGAATATAACAGGTTCAACATCTGTGGCATGCTGCTGATTACCACAGAAAATCGTTTTTGACTTTCCAGTTTATAAAGTGGTTAAAAAAACGAAATGAGATTCTGACTGTCTTTTTAAATGCATCTCTGAGGGACGTGTTGAAACGATTTTGTTATAATTGACAGCATGCCACAGATATTATCAATAGAGCTGAACTGAATGTTCCTTTCGATGGTTTCATTTTGTTTATAGCTGAGTTATTCAGACAGTATTAATGCTGATCTGAAATGCCACAAGCTCTTGTACTTTTGATTTACTTGTGAGTGGATTAAGCCCTTTTTGTGCAAGTGCCAACTAAGATCTTACAACGCAAGTTCTGTTTTATATTTTTGTATCAATCAAATGCTTATCTTTTGTACTTTTTTACTGGGAAATTGGAATATTTTAAACAATAAAGTTCTTTCCATAAAAGGGAATTCACATGTGACTGAGCATAATATAAATATGTTATCAAAAATACAATGTCTGAAAAAATGACATTTTGTGTTTAATCAACCTTGATGGAATATTAAATGTTATCATTAGATTACATATTTATGCAGAAGTAAGAAAATCACTTAGGTCGGTCTGTCTACTAGAGGGTAGATTGTTATAGACAAAGCCAAACACCAGTCATGTTGATGCATGTAGTGTCTGTTGTCCTGGTTAGTCTGGTAATGCCGGTCTTCATTACAGTTTAGTACAATAGCTAGGACCCATTGCTCAATACTTGGGTCACTTTTTTAAAAAAAAAATCACACAGTTCTCCTAACCAACTTCCAGCTTGGCGCAGCAGTTCATTTCACATTCAAAATGCACTAAATCAACCAAAACAAGTCATACATGTCTCAAATCAACTCATTCTTCCATAACACTAGCAAAGGTTTTCACCTAACAAACACACTTTGTCAATCTAAAAAAAAAACGAACAACAAACAGCATTAGACAATTCTTTTGTAAGATTTTTTTTTACAAAACAAGAATGACACTCCATGTTTACGTCACAGTATAAAATTATTCCTAAGTTTTACCCTTTTGTATAAATGGTAATAAAATTGAAAGACTAACACTTGGGTGTTCAGCTACACCTAATTATTTTGATAGTAGGCTATTTATTTTTTTAGATTCAGAATATATTTCAATATGTTATTATTACTGAAGAAATGTAGCAAATTCCTGTCTTAATCGTTTTGTTAGGTTTTTAACTTTAGTCTAACAATTTTGAAAAGAGTATGTAAACAATGTGCAAACTGACCTGTAGTATAGTGTTGGTGAAGTTTGTGTCTAAATAAGACATTTATTTATGTAATTTGAAAGATGTAGTAATTTCATGCATTTTGTCCCAAAGCAATGAATGATGATCAACAGTTTAGCCCATAGACTGATGCTGTGCTCTCTGTGTGAAGAGTTTTGAAAAAGTGGCCTAAATATCAAAAATGTGTCCTAGTAATTGTAAAAAATAATACAAATAGCTCATCTGTCCTGTCCCACAGACATGTAGAGTTCCCTTTTTCGCTACTGTTTTGGGGGCTGCTAAAATTGTACAAAGCATGATGGAGACTGGGGATGAGAGGGATTCAGCAAACATACTGTACAAGAGCAATTATAGGTTCGAACAGTCATATTATTCACATTTTTCTGTCCACACCGTCACCGTGGTTTCTCCAGCCTGTCGGTGGCGCTAGAGATCGCCTCCTTCACTCTGCATCTTGCCCGAGGAAAACAAAACGGAAAAACGCCGCTGATGAACGGAAGTTTGTATGTTCAAGATGGCGTTGGACGGGATTGACCAAGTAAGTGTTATTTATGTGTTAAATCTTCTAATATGAACAGTATGGTTAGCTGTTGGTTAGCGTCACATATTTCATAGATGGAATATGCTGTAACTGTAGTGTTTAGAAATATAAGTTGAAATGGCTAAATTTAACGCGCCAGCTCCGAATGAAGCAGAGTTTGCTGTCTCATTGTCACTGACTGGGACTGATCATAACATGGCATAACTGGATATATATTACATGACAAATTATGAATGTTTCGTATTTACTTGCAAAATCACTTATAATAACAACAGAAGTCTTTCATGCCTAATAATAAAATAATAAATCTCTGATTATACTTAAGAAATATCATATATTTGATCATGAAATCATAACGTGAGAAATTTCTCATTATAAGTTACTTCATAACATGGTAAATGTATAATTTCAAGAAAACCTCATGAATCATCACTTTATTCCACCTGACACGATTACACTACCTGACCATTAATAACCTGACTGTATGTGTTATTGATGTTATTGTTAATAATAATTTTTGCAGATGGATATTGAGGAGAGTAAAGGAGGCTCTGGGCTCCGACAGTATTACCTGTCTAAAATCGAGGAGCTTCAGGTGAGCATAGCCTTGAAATGTTGTAGTTTGGCTGACACACAATTTATTCTGTAGATATTAAAAACCATTGTCAAAAAGTTTTATTTACAATTACATCATATTTTTGTATTAATTACTTGTTTTAAATGTATATTAAATCCAGTTGACCTTAAAAGTGACTGATCCACTTACATCTATATGTAAATTTATCATTACTTCTATTGTTTTTGAAATATGGTTAAAGTGTAGTGTAGTGTACATGTATGCCAAACTAAAATACACTTTTTTATTGAAACTTGTGTGTAATGTATTTAAATATGTTTGTAATTACACATTTGTAATGAAGTTGCAATTTACAACAACACTCAAAATATATGAACTCTAAATGCAATATCAAAATACATACTACAGTTAAACTTATAATCTAGTACTTTTACATGTGCTTTAGTGTGCTTATTTAGGTACACTTAAATTGCTTTTTATTTGGTTAATATTATATTATCTGCAAGTTCAGTTTTTAAAAAACATACTCCACTACAAGTGCACATTCAATACAATCAAGTGCACTTCTTTTTCACAAAGGTTAGTTGTGTCTAAATGTGCTTGTCTCTTTACTCAGTTGACAGTGAATGATAAAAGCCAAAATCTCAGACGTCTGCAGGCTCAAAGGAACGAGTTAAATGCCAAGGGTAAAGCTCTTTCAACCAACTTTATGAATGTCAATTTGATGCATATGCCAAATAGCTTATGCTATAAATATCATCAGTATGACATGACAGGATTTGTTTTGCTCTGTTTCCTTTAGTGCGCCTCCTGCGTGAGGAGCTTCAGTTACTGCAGGAGCAGGGCTCTTATGTTGGAGAGGTGGTGAGAGCCATGGACAAGAAGAAAGTGCTGGTCAAGGTTTGACAGCCATTATTTTCTGCTTTTCTCATGAGCACGATCAGTGCTGAGATTGTTTATTCATGTATGTTTATGCTTTGTTTTTAGGTGCATCCTGAAGGAAAGTTTGTGGTGGATGTGGATAAGAACATTGATATAAATGATGTAAGTGTTTTGTTTGGGTTTTACAAAGGCTGAACTTTCCATCATGATTGTTCTCATTTGAGAAATGTATTTTTACAATTCATCAGAATTATTGCACTTTCACATAAGAGCAGTTTAAGAGAACATAAACTCATACACAGGGTTTATTTTACCTCATAAAGTTACCTAGTTTATATCATATACATCAACACACCTCTACATTATAAAAGCTGGTAAAATGTCAAGAAGCTTCTCTCAAAAGTTTAGTTATTAATTCCAATAATTCTGAATCATGTTCATATTTTTCTATTCAAACAAAAAAGACTTTGCACTGTGGCACAGAGGCTGAGTAAGTGCATTTATTCAGCAACCACAATCGAGATTTAAGTTTGAATAGAAAAATATTTAATATTAAATATTGCAGCATCATTACTCCAGCCTTCAGTGTCACATGATTCTTCAGAAATCATTCTGATATCCTGATTTGATGCGCAAGAAAACATCTCTTATTATCATTGTTGAAAACAGTTGTGCTGC